GGTCAGCACCTCGGTTTTCCAGGTTTGCGATTCGTGACTGAGTGTCGGTGGCCAGGGATTCCAAGGCTTTGAGCCGGTCTGAGGTTGCTGTTAGGCTGTTGGCTGTCTCATTCTTCATGTGTTCAATCTTTTCTCCGTTGTTCTGAACATTCTCCATGATCGTCGCCATGTTCTCCATGGTCGTCGTCATGTTCTTGCTGATCTCGTGGATTGCCTTCGCGAGGCCTGCTTGCTGTTCCATGATGACTCTGTATGGCTGGTTGAGGAGCGCGTTTGATAGGCCCGTCATGCATCCTGTGATTTTTTGGTCAGTCCTTGCAATATCCATTTCTCCCCCACTCTCCAATGCCTGTACGAAGAACCCGGCGTCTAAGAGGGAGTTGTATAGGTGATCTAACTTCTCGTCCCTGCTCATCGAGCGATCTGCGAGGTGGCTGAATCTGTCGGCCTGTATGGATTCTTGGTCGATTCCCCTTTGGTCATTTTCGTCTCCGGATGACTCGATGTCTTCGTCCCATGGGACGCGCCGGTTTGGGTCGTTCTGGTCTCCCATGGTCATGTCTACGTCGTTGTAGGACTGCGGGGTTGGGGTGGTCGCGCGTTCTGCGTCCAGCGCCCTTTTCTTGTTTCCTATTAGTACGCTCTTGATTTTCGCCGGGGACGTGTGGGTGACTGATTGCGCCATTCTACCTACCCTTCCGACCGCGTTCTCCAGGAAGGAGGCGGTCGTGCCGGATGGGGTCTGTGGTCGGGTTTGTCGAGCTGTCCGTTGGGGGCGCGTCGCGCCTCCCTCCGGTTGGGTGGGTTTGGTGTACTGGGTTGGGATGGGTTGGGAGTATCTTTGTGAGGCATGTGTGCTTGGGGAATTATGTTTATGGGTTTTTCTATTGCTACTGTCTGTGTTCTCCTCCATACTGCTTCGACTTTTGCACGGCCTGGACCGTGGGAAAGAAGCGTATGTGGAAGTTCTAGATCAAGAAGCGGTGTTGAGGAATTTCGTTAAACCGTTCAAATGCCGTTTGGGGTCTAGGCAGGCGCCCATGGCAGTGCTCTAATTATCTCAGATAACTGCGAAATGGGCTCTGCATTGGTTGTTTTGGTATCCTCTTTCGCCACGTTGTCAAACGAAGTTCTCAGGAACAAGGTATTTTCCAATCGACTCATATAATAAGGATGAGCTTGCTTTCTCACCCCACTCAATACTTACCATGTCCTGTCCCAGATGTATACAGGGCTTCATTTTACCCGGTGAGCCTACCGGTACCATCCAACCCGATTTCCACTATGCCTACCTCGCGCCAGCGCCGAATGGGGAGCCTTCGAAGCGCGCTGTACTTCTCTTCACGGATGTTTTTGGGTTGCTCCTACAGAATCCCAAAATAATGGCGGACACTATGGCGAAGGAGTTGGGGTGCGATGTTTGGGTGCCGGACTACTTCAGGGGTGCGTCACCTTTTTGTCCTTCCAGTGAGGATGTTGTGTTGATAGTGAGTAGGCAGGCCCCCTATGTCCCTAACCTCGATGACCCCTGATCGTGCTGGGGTCAAAATGACGTTGTGGGACTGGGTCAAGTTTGCAGGGATCGCATTTCGAAACCTTCCTGCGCTTATTGCTTCACGGCCTGCCGTGGTTGACAAGCGTCTCGCTTCTGTGAACTCTGCAATCCCAAGTCACAAGATAGCTGTCTAATCTTCATCTTTGCATCTAGTTCTTTGCGCTTTTGAAAGAGAAGAAAATATATGAGAAAATAGGTGCTGTTGGGTAAGCGGAACTTCACATTTGCTCCTCTTCCCATTTAAAAGATCATCTCAGGTATTGCTTCGGTGGCGCGACCGCCGCACGCATGGGAAGCAACAATTATCTAAACAGTATTGTTATCGCCCACCCGGCGCCTATCAGCGATAGTGTTCTCAAATCTATTTCGATACCTACGGCATGGGCCTGTGCGGAAGGTTCGTGGGTTATTAGGCCGGTCCAATGATGATGGCACTGACACTTCGGTAACAGATGATATGTTCTTTCCTGAAATGAAACGCAACAAAGCGGAAGCAGTGTTCGCAGCAAGAAAAGACACAGATACGTTCGTGGATTATGAGTTCAAGGTCTACAAAGGTGTGCAATTGTTGGCGTTGGTGGTTCTGAGGTTATCTCAAATGGTGATTATAGGAACGGCTCATGGCTTCGCTTCTCGGCCCAACCTGGAGCTCCCAGAAATAAAGGCTGCTCATGAGCAGGCCTTGGAACAGACTATTGCGTGGTTCCAGAAGACGTTAATTCTATCGGAGCCTGTTCAAGAAATTACGGAGGGTTGACAGAAGTATCCAAGGACGGGAATATAATAGATATGACCGCTAGAGCTAGATATACTCGTTCGATATTCTTCTCTCCAGAGTTATCACAGACCTCAACACGAAGTCCTCAAAAAAAAAACTTGGAACACGCTGGAACCTTTCGCGTAGAAGATTGGCCAATTTTTTTGCACGATGCCTTCATTAACTCTTTAAAGCTGGTAGGATTAAGGTAGGATTGGCGGGAAGCTCAGTAGGTAGCAACCAAGATCTACTTGGTGACCCAAGGAAAGAAAAATCAAGCTCTGCAGTCTATCTATGAATCAACGATATATGGCCCGCTGAAATCACTCGCTAGGAAAGTTTCGTTAAGTAGAAGCGTTCAGAAGTTGAAATTTCTAGGCGACGTACTCCATAAACTCAAAGAAGACAATTTTCTTGTTAACCAACCCAGGTATCTGCATTCGTAAATCGTGAAGCCCCGGTTCAAGGTCACATTCAGGTTCGGCATCCGCTTGGAGGTCAGAATCACCATCCACCTGTGGGTCAGGTTCATCAGACATCTGCAGCTCAAACTCCGACGACGTCGACTCCATTTCGTCAGTCCTTTTGAATGAAACATCCACCCTCCTTAACTTCGAGAAGCGAGGATGCGTTAAGATTAAATCCAACTCTTGCCAAAATGGAAGGCGGCAAAAACGGGTGAGCCAGCCATCATCGACAACATGTATATCGTTAGGAGGCGGACTGTAATCCGCGAGCAACCTGAACTCCTCGAGATTGCTATCGGAGGTAATTTTTCGCAATTGAGTGATCAGGATTGGTAGAACATTGAGGTTAGGGAAGGTTTCACAGGCATAGAAGGCTATGTCGAGAGAAAATACTCGAAGATTCGGGAACGGGCGGAAGTCTAGGAGTTCATGGGGGATGCCTGAGTTAATCGTAGTGAAGTTAGAGAGGAAAACATGTAGAAGAAATATCGGGTATCTCACGAAATCACTCATAAGCCGGATACATCTGGATGACGACCAATTCTTCAAGTGACCGTGATGCACAGTCCACGAGTTCTGACCAATAAAAGCAATCGGCTGCACAGGTGAACCCGACACGTAACATTTTCAGACAAGATAAGTCGAGTGATCTGATCAGGTGAGGAATAATAAGAGCACAGTTGGTGATGTCCAAGAACTCTAGCTGGCTCCGGACCCGAGGCTGTGCGATCTCAAGGACGCGACCGTGAGGCCTTCAAAAGTGTACCCCAGAAGGACAACCCTTTGAGATATCTTGAGGTAACGACCTCGTACGGGATGTTCTCCAACTCAACAAATTCGATCTTGACCAGGCTGGGAAGCATGAATGTTTGAGAAAGTGCAGCTGCGAGTCTGGGGGGGAGGATGGACCAGTCTAGCTTGTGGCGATGCTCGTCTGCAAGCCACGCTCTGATGGCTAAGAATTTAAGAGACACCAGGAGCGGCAGGAGCAACGGGAGTGTTTCTTCGCGTGATACCCATCCAACTCTGGTACCCTTTTTTGAATCTGGAGTAGAAAATAGCGATTCTTCGATAATTATTCTCTTGATACACGATCCAAGCTAAGGGTTGGCAGAGACGATGGCATACAAACCACGACAATCTTTCGACCCCCGTTCGGCGTCACCATCCGTGCCAAGGGTCATCTGGTTGAAGAGGACTCTGCGACTAGCTGCAAGAAATGACCTGCTAGTGAGGGAGCAATTCAACAGACTTGGTAGGTCCTCATCAGGCTCGAGGTCATCAACGATTTTGTCGATCACCTCCTGTGGAAATGATAGTGGCGAGGGAGACATAGCTGGAAATTTTTCTGTTAAAGAAGTTGTTATCGAATGCGCCTGACGAAGGGAAGGAAAAACACGCTGAGTGACTTCTTGCGAAGGTATTACCAAGAAGATCGGTACCGTTCTGAAGGTTGAGCTCGCTCCAAGTCAAAGCCTGCCACTTGCAATCACAACGGTCGATGTGATTCTTGACTGTGGGAGATTCCTTCAACTGCAAACTACCCGCTACGGACAGTCGTTCTTTGAAATGCCACCAGGAGCTTGTGTATGCCAGGAAGAGATAGGAGCTGACAGTGAGAGCGATTCTGAACTTGTTCTCAACTTGTTCTGAACGACCGTGTAATGGCAGTGCCGCGTGCTTGCCTCCTGCGTGACAACACGCTCGTGACGTTTCTCGTGACTTGGTGCCTGATCTAGACCTGGTTCGCTGGTCGACCTCAGGTAAAGAGCGTGTCAAATAACTTGCTCTTCTGCCCCAACTTCCATGTCTATCTGTCCCAAGTGCAAAGAAGGCTACATATTGCCTGGTGAGCCCACAGGGAGCATCAACACCGACTTTCAAGGCGCCTACTTCGCTCCATCCCCCAATAAAGACGTGGAATCGAAACGCGCTATCGTGTTCCTCACTGATGGGTTTGGGCTGCCCTTGAAGAACTGTAAGATTATGGCGGACAACTTGGCGACGAAGTTGGAATGTGATGTTTGGGTTCCCGATTATTTCAATGGTGTGCTGGCATTTCATCCGGACATATATTCAAAGGAACAAACATTTTTGACAGGCAAACCGCTCATACCGCTCGATACGATGATGATTGAGCGAGCGGGAGAGAAGTGGTCGATATGGCAGTGGATAAAGTTCGTCGTTGGGACTGGTATCCCCAACTTTCCAGCATTTATCAGCAACCGACCGTCTGTTGCTGACAAACGCCTTGATTCTGTACGTCAACGTTATCATCGAACTCATGCTTAACTACAACATATTCTTTTAGTTCTTTGCTCTGTTGAAAGAAAAGAAATCGTATGAGAAACTTGGTGCTGTCGGGTGAGTGATACGTCGGGACTAGTGTATTCGTCGCTTACGCTGCAGAATAGATACTGCTTCGGAGGCACGACGGCGACACGACTCGGTGGAACTGATCACGTACAAAGTGTCGTCATATGCCATCCAGGACCGCCCAGCATTTCTGACATAAAGAAGATTAAAGTCCCCGCAGCCTGGGCTTGTGCTGAGGGTACGCGTTGAAATTTATTCCTTACCGTGGTACTCATCAGTCTATTGTTCATGTTGCTCAGAGGACCAGTTCTGGGGTAGGTCCGCCAGGCTGCAAGCCGAAGCAGCTTTTGCTGCGAGGAAAGATACCGACAATTTCGTTGAATACGAGTTCAAGGATTATAAAGGTGTGTGTACTTTCCGTTATTTGTCGAAATTGAGCGGCCTTGATAGGTTTAACATAGGAACTGCTCATGGATTTGCTGCGCGCCCTAACTTGGATCTTCCAGAGATCAAAGAAGCGTTCGAGCTGGCTTTTGAACAGACTGTCCAATGGTTTCAAAAGACGCTCACCGTCTGATTGGAGGTTTATTCTGGAGGTTTCTGTGGATAGTAGATATGGGTTTGACCTTGGATACGATTAGTATGACTCACTTAATACCCTGCATATACACGTTGCATTCGATGGAGGCTCATTTATATTTGATATGACGCGTCAAAACGCGTGCGCCAAAAATAGATGCGCAACTTCATGATTGTTGTGTATTGGATCGCGGGTACATCTGGGTACATACTTACAGGACAAACTTTCCTGCTTTTCGTTCCTTCCTCCTTCTCCAGATTTCCCAAGGTTCTGAAATCCCCTATTGACGCCTTTGTACTCCACTGTAAGTCCTTTAAATTGATCCTCTTGTATGCAAGTCGTCTCATAGCAACTCGATTCCCAAGTTTATAGCTTCAACTTTGAAGGTCTTCGCACACATCGCAGTATCAGTATTTGATTTTTGGTGCCCCTTACGACCTTGGGCTTCAAATTTTGCAGTGCCGTTAACACAAGCGCTTACCGAGTCTCCTTGAAAGTCAGCAATATTCGGTCCGTCAAAAGGCTTTTGAAAATTATTTGTAGGCCAATGGTTGAAATCAATTGGACGATATAAAACGAATAAGAACCTTCAATGCCAGTGGGACTGAACATCATAATACCAGATCTATACAGATCGGGGTTATTTTTACAAAAAATATCTTAGAACCAATGGTCCAACTCGGTCCCTGATTTGAACAGGGCTAGAACGCATCATAACACCATCGTTGTCTAGGTACACATATCATTATATATACCCACCAGCGGGATGTCCCTCACAATCTCGAGGCGACTCGGAGCCCACCTTGAAACTGCAAGTTCCAGCATCATGTGATGCTGGACGGGTCCAGCGCTTTCACGCTGGATCCAACGCTTTCGCGTTGGGGATACGCTCCGCGATAACCACTACGCTACCGAGTCTTACGAAGATAACGCGGCCAAAGTAATCAAGTACTGCTAAATTGAAGTTGACAGCTCGACGTGGGCACGTTTCAAGCACGTTGTTACTACTCTGGACCCGGTACCGATCTAGAGCCGACTATAACTTGATACTTTTTCAAAATAATCTCTCCCGCCGGTAAGCATGTTGGTAAAAAAGATGATAGCCATTCACGGTTTTCTTTTTTTCACTTGGTCGCAGTGCTTGGAAGCTGCCCCCTTCTTTGAACAAAAATCACCACAAGGTCTGCGATGACCTTTAACGACCTTCCATAATAACCACAAAAATCTACATTGCATACTATTCCATTCCGAGCGTAGCGGACGAATTCCAACACTATTGGGTAATTGTACTTAATACCCCGCATACTATTCAGTTTGCATTCGGTGGAGGCTCGTTCATACTCGATAACTTGAAAACGCGGGCGCCAAAAATAGATGCGCAACATGATTGGATCGCGGGTACATATAACAGAATTCAGGACAAGCGTTCCTTCTTTTCGTTCCTTCCTGCTTCTCCGGATTTTCAATGCTCTGAAATCCCTGACGCCTTTGTGCTATACTCCTTCAGAGAACTGAAGTTTTTGATTCTCTTGTACACAAATTATCTCACAGCAACTGAACCATTTCGATCTAGAGAAGTTGATAGCTTAAACTTTGAAGGTCTTCGCACACATCGCAGTATCAATATTTGATTGTTGGTCCTGAGTTTCGCTCCTCATAACCCTTGGGCTTTGAATTTTGCTGTGCCTTTGATACAAGCGCTTACCGACTTTCTTTGAAAGTCAGCAATAATCAATCCAGGCTTTTATGTTTGAAATCGATTGGACGATATACAACGAATGAGAACCTTCAATGCCAGTGGGACTGAACATCATAACAGCAGATCGGGGTTGAATTGGGGTTATTTTTACAAAACTATATTAGAACCAATGGTCCAACTGACCAACTCGGTCCCTGATTTGAACAGGGCTAGAACGCATCCTAACACCATTACTGCCCTCATACTGGGGCAGAGGGGTGTCACTCACAGTCTGAGCCAGTGGCTCAGAGCTGTGCGTCGAGGTCCAGCCATCACATATGATGCATATATGATGCCGGATGGATCCAATTGGATCATCATGGATCCAAGTTGGATCATCCACCGCTTTCGCGTTGGGGACACGCTCCGCGATAACTACTACGCTACCGAGTCTTGCGAAGATAATGCGCAAAAGTATTGAAGTACCGCTAAATTGAAGTTGACAGCTCGACGGCGTGGGCACGTTTCAAGCACGTTTCTGGTCAGCTAAATATTGTTTAATAATCTCTCCCGCCGGTAATTAGCATATTGATAAGAGAAACTACCACCGTGACGAGATTAAGCGTTTGAGCTTCCCAACGGTCCTGTTAGCTCAACCATTATGATGGCCATTCGAAGTGATCAGCCGGGCGTGTCGCAGTACATATTTGGGACCTACCCCAATAACCACAAAAATTTACATTGTGTACTATTCATTCCAAGTGTAGCGAACGCACCCCAACAATATTGGCCGTATATCTATGTACTGTGTATGTACCATTCAAATGCACTGCCAGGCTACGCATGAATTTTCAGGGCGGTGATTATGGGATTCCAAAATTTGTAATACACAATTCGGTAGCTTGATAAAAGTTGAAATTTGTCCGCCGATAGTGTGAAAATATTCTCGGTCCCCGATTCGAACAGGGCTAGAACGTACCTGGGTGGACCAATGCAAACGATTACATATTTATATACATAAACGTTGTGAAGGACCGCGCGAGTTTCTCGCGCAGCATAAAATGCTGGATACGCTCCGCGATAACCGCTACGCTACCGAGTCTTGCGAGGATACAACGTCGATAACAATTTCTTGCAAGCTGACAGACAGTACTGACATCATACGTATTCTAACACCATTCACTTACCTCCTCAGTTCCCCCCCCTCATGTGTCGCGCACTTTTTTTGTGTCTGTAAATCAGGAATACGACTCAAGTTCAGGTCTTTGCACGTCACCTATTTTAGCAACAAGGGTATATGAAAATTCTTGCCTTTCCATCCAGTCCACAACGGCCGCGAAGGGGTTCCGAGCGATGCCAACGAGCCCGAAAAGTCCGGTGATAAGTTTGGAACGACAATTTAGTTTCCTCAGTCCGAATGGAGAGAAAATTCTAGATAAAAAGAATATGGCGCGCTAAAGGTGAGTGTGACCTAACGATCCGTGAAACAGACGCCCTCCCAAGGATAGCGAGGACGACTTGCATAACAAGCGGTTCTGCCACGATATACTTGCCCATGGTCCAAATGTGTCGCAATACCTCAAGTCTTTGTTGCCAGATGCGGTGGGTAATTTGACGAAAAAAAAGTAAACGCAAAGCAAAGTAACGCAGTGGAGGCCGAATGAGGTATAATAAACTAAGCGCCAGGCCAGGAACTGAGCGATGAGGCTAACAATGACGCGTCATAGGAGGACACCGAGCATTTTACCCACCAATACGATTGAGGAAGGGGATTCACGCTATGTGGGAGGTGCAGGGTCTGCGGCGATGGGGACGAGGGTTGAGGGGTGAGGTTGGTTGCTGATGTAAAGAAAAAAGGCAGATGGGAGGTTAATGCGAGGCAGAAGGTCAATAATGTAATCACCAGAAGCAGGGTGAGAATGAGTCGGCGCCGGTGGACCAGGTCACCCAAGGGGCTGATTGGGGGAGCCCAGACACATAGCTGTGCCAAGTGATGAGAGATTACAGCATTTATAATTGGATTCGGAGGACTGCGCCCAGCTTGCACGAAGGTCGTAATCCTATAATTAAATAATTGATAATGAACAACGCCCTGGAGAAGTAGGATGGACCTATCGACCTGGAAACACCCTCATACGACACTTGAAACGACTTGAGATTTCAACTGAAATCGCACAAGGGTTCAGCGCTTCGAGATATCTAAACAAAATAACTGAACAGAGGTCGACAGTAGTAGAGGTCGGCAGTAACTAGAAGCTGGTTTGAGGGAAAATGGTCACCAATTGAGATTTGGAATGGAAACATACACCCCATACACAACGGCCATTTTACAACTGAACTTGAACGGGTTCTGCGGGTTGTACTAGAGGCGGGGAGGAAGTAGAACTCAATCATTCGTCCCGGATACGTGTCTTGAGCGGTGGAATGTCTGGAAACAACATCGCGGCAACCCAGCCTGGTGCCTCTGAGAAATCCATAACTGGAAACAGAGTTGGATGTAAGACGAAAGATGTATGGCCGCACGTCACACCGTACGACGCCATATTAAACACGGATGGATATGGGTCCGGCCTTGGGACACCCACACCTGACATGGGGTGTCATGAAAAATCAACGGTTACACGATTTATGAATCTGCAAAAAGAACCTATGTTTGATGTGAAGGCCGCGACCAATTCTCAAAATGTTTTCGGGTCGAAGTGGCACATCTCGCGCGCATTCGGCTTCACCGCAGCACTTCCATGAGGCTCAGCGAGTCTTTGGCTAAAGTTTCACGGGCTTGGAGCTTGAACTTCAAGAGGCGGATGTGATGTCGCTGGGGTTTCGGAGGACGGGGGTCTTGAAAGTTGATACCCTGCTCTTCGGGACAGACTACGTTTCAAAATGCTCAAATGGAATACATATTGAAGCTGTAGCAAATGAGGTAGGGCAGGAATGTTCAATGAAGGACTTAGCTTTGGCGGTGATGATAATGGAGAGACTCCGGCAAGCAGGGGACAATTTAACAAATAGCGCCAGATTACTGCACGGATAAACGCTCTAAATTTGTTGGTTGCCGTAGAAAGATTGGCCTTCCCGAAAGATTCGTTGGACTTGGTGAAGCTTGCGCACCTCAACCCCTCCCCGGACATGTCACGTGACTTACCACTTCGAACCTTGAACACCATCTTTTTTGTACTCCGTCTCGCTCAGACCACGATATGATCATGGTTGGCATAATATTACGGTATTCCAATAAATAAAAATGTAATTTAGGCAGAATTTTCTTTTTTTTTGTATACACATAGTCATCTAGAGAGATAATATACTACAGTTACATTCACGATCTTAGGCATTATATTGCCATCAGCTCAAATATGTATACATGTCTTTATGGCCTAGGTGGTCGAGCTCTGTATCGTGGGAACTGCAATTTCTCATGGTGTGTGGTTCGACTCCCGTAGTAAGATTATTTTTTGCATTTGGTTTTATGGCTCAAAAAGTCCGTAACCTGGATTATGGTGCGTTCCGACAGTCATTTTTTCAATGCCAAGTGGGTTAGTTTCTGGTAAGTTTGCTGCCATTATTTATGAAAGTTCGAGCCAAATCAGGATAACCGTGAAGCCATTTTTTTCATATGTCCAATAAATAGGCTGTGTTCTGTTTATTTTCTCCCCTCAATATATATATCAAATATGTAAAGAAACGTAGAAAATGTGCGAAGTCGAACGTTGATCTTGGAATATAAGATATGATAATGTCACGTGACGTGTCCGGGGAGGGGTTGAGGTGCGCAAGCTGCTTGGTGACCACGAAAGGAGTGTGTTTACGTGTATTGTATTTCCAAGTCCTTCAAAATTGTCACGAACCAAAGCCGCACAAACAGCCACATCATAATCCGACCCACTCCGAACGTTGACCAGCACCCTCACCATGCACGCCTCTCTCATCCGCCGCCAGCTCGGAGGCCTCGTCCCACCCAAAATTGCTACACCTAAGCTCGTCGTACGTCTCTCTGAGCTCCCCTGTCACAATGACCAACAATTTTCACTTAGTCTAGCGGCTCGGGCGCCTCACTTGGACCCCTCGTAGAGTTCTACTCAAAACTTCCTAAAGGTGAAGCCACGCCTCGTGTTAGCGGAATCAAAGGGCGATTCTTTACCGGAAAGAACGCGTCGGGAACACCGCTTGTGGCTTTAATTGTTGGGCTGTTTGGTATTGGATATACCATTGACTACAACAGTGAGTAACTCGCCCATTTCCGAAGCTTTGACGTCCTAACACCCGCAATAGTGCACTTGAGTACGTCCCGCTTTGGCTCTTCTTCCTCACGGGTTGATCCTCGTCACAGAACACCAAAAGAACCACGCCCATTAGATGTTCTTTATGAGACGTACCGTAATGGAATAGATCGTGTGCAGTGGGTGCTCAAACTGAGTGGTTATAGTCAAATTGCTGCTCCCTCCCGGTGGCGTGATACGCCGCCTTGTCGGGGCTCGCGCCCTTCATGGCGTTGTGCCCGTCACCTGGATCCTTTGATCGAGTTTATTTTGTTGGGCATCGCCCGGGCCCGCTGGGTTTCAATCGATCCCTTCTCGATGCCATGCCCTGACCTTCCGCAGGCCGGGCCTTCGTCTTTATCCCCTGTTGTGATTGCTTCTGCCCCGAAGACAGACAATAGTGTTTTCGTCCTGGGCGTCGCGGCGGCCTTGGCTAACATATTAATAGAAACCTGCAACACGCCCTTTCACTGAATTAGAATTCCTACCCGGCCAGCTGACCCACCAGTGGACATCGTTCACTAAATGTGCTTGAAGGGAATGCAGGCTGTTGGAATAAGAATGTATTTCTCCACAGCATGTGGGTGCTGTTGATCAGTTGATTTGCTGCACTTACTTGTCTCCCTCTCCCGAGAACTTTCGTCACACTGATTTCTTGCCAGTCCTCATATTCTATCCTGAGAGTGAAGAGCCCTTGGTCAAACGTGAACTAAATTTTGCTTTGAAGGGTGCTACATCATCGCTCGGAACCACCACCAGCTTGTCCCGATCCTCTTCTTCGACGACACGGGATGATTTATCAAAAACCAACCCACGATATATATCGCATTGGTCACACGGCCATTCAGCGAGGATCGCCTTAGGACCCTGAATAACTACACTTCCCGGACCGCCATAGGTTTTCTCGGCTCTCACTTCGACGACATGAGAGTGATTCGCTGGGAAGTGATCTAACTCACGATATATTGCACAGGTCACAAGGCCCTTTGGCGCGCTCTGCGAATGCTTTGAGCGCTCACGCCGCAATTGCATCGTGCCCGAACCAACCCCTTATCTCATAACGTGTCGGCCTCGAGTCTTTGCCACGGCTTATCATTGTGATGGCTTGTCGGTTCGCTCGTCGGCCGCACTGAAACTCAAGGTGTTCGATTCCTCCCGTGCATGTTCAGCGTTACATCACTTGACGAAGCTTGGCGGTTTTATACAACTTGCGATGACGGATGGACGGACTTACGGACAGAGAGCTCCGAAAGATGGGACGGATAACACTCTGCTACACCCTGATCGACATGCAAAATTTCCATTCATGGAACCTCTCCTACCAATAATGTATGAAATTCGCAGGTTTGTTTTTGATCCTGAACTTTAAGTTTTTGACCCTCCTTCACGATGAATAGCGCGGGAAGCTGTAAACGTCAATGCTAGACTGCGAGCACACTATTTTCAAGGGTCGGTTAGGTCTACATTTTGTTTGGACTTGATTCTTGATACCGCGATCCCGCCCGGATGTATGATGTCGATATGTCGCTTTCCATCGGAGCCAAGTAAAATCTCTTGAAGTGCGTAATTCCCAAGACCGATCAACCAGGATTTCATCTCTCTGTGATAGGGTGAAGGATCCATCGACGTCATTGATGCCCAAGCCGAACTCTGGCTGCAGCTGTGTGACCGCCGACTCAAGCCGACTCCCAGCGAGCACATGGTCACTTTGATTGTTGTTTCCAACATCACCAGACCAGGTTTTTCCCTGAAGATGTCCTTCCGTTGTGACAAGGCACAGACACACGTCATAGCGGAATGAAAAATTGGACATAACGAGACGAATACAATACATTGAAGTACAGCTATGAGATGAATGGGGGTATGGGGGTACAGATATGCGGGGTCGTGGCGATTCGGCAGTGTCATGTCAGAGGGCGGCCTTCCGCTCGAGCTTGGGCCGCGCGACATGGAAAGCAGTACTCGTCGACGTTGTCGACGTCCCGCTCTATATCTGGACCAAAGGTCTGTGATGAGAGTTGGTCAGAAACAGAAACAGAGAAGTATGAGTGCGTGTTCTCTCGCCTGGAAACAAGTGGGCTGACGGCAGGATGGCGGGTGCGCATAACTCTTCATGCATTGTCTGGAGTTACAATCGACGATGGCTTTGACAAACTGCCGTTGAAAGTGCTGTTTAATGACCATTAATAGATCCAGGACATGAACGCGATCATGAGACGAACCCCGCATTTGTTCCATCGTGTTCCTTGACTTCATAGAGTCAAGGTTTAGACAACGAGTTACCTGAGAACAAAAAACACACGCACGCTATCCGTTGGCACATAATTTCAAGATGAATTCGCAGTGTGTGAGTAATTGTTGGGGGGGAAACGTTGGAAAGAGTTGGCGATGCACGGAGGGTTCTTATGGGAGAAAGAGGAGGGTTACAGCTTTACACCACAATTCAAGCTGCGCTGTTTATGCAATTCAGAAGTCCTATTGGCATCTTACACGCGGCAATTTAGTTGCATACCCAGTCCATCAAAGAATTGTAATCACTTCCGTTTTAGCAAAAACAAAGCGTTGCCTGAGATCCTTGGAGATCGCCAGCCACATGCGCAAACGTTTTCTTCCGTTCCGATGATGGAATGTGAAATTCATGTGACATACAAGTGCACGTTTACCGCTGGGGTAGTGATGAACTGCTTTGCAGGTCTACGTATGAGGTCTATAAACGCTTAACAGCTAGAATTCTGGATGTGAAGTGCTTACAAGTTCAGAGGCAACGATTGATCAGAGCTATGCACATCAAATGCACATACAGAGCCAAGGTCCGAGGATAACTGTCTAGTTGCCGATCGCACGAGGGCAATCTTTATTATCTACGGGACCAAACCCAGTTGTGTTCCACTGCCATTGAATAAGGCCAATATTAGAGAATCGTGTTCAAAGGCATCAGATTTTGTTGGTCGACCTTTGTTGCAGGAGTGAATCATTCCACAACCGCCTGGCGGTTGTAAGCAGTTGTGAACCAATTAGAGGGTTCTATATTATAAAGGCGTCTGTATTTTACGTCAGGAACGCAGGGATTCGTGATGAAGCTTAGTGCAGGGGGGGATGTAACTCGTTTGTTTATCTGCTCTTATCCAAATTACGTAAGTCCGAGGACTTCAATTGATGGTGGTTGAAAAACATGTTTAACTTGATAACTGAAAACTCGCTGCGTAACATGGATAATAGGTCAGCGGGCTAGAGGGACTATCTTCCCGAGTTTCAAGTCCGCGAATACCCTTCTACTGATAAGGCTCGGATGTTCGGCAAATCACGACCACATACCCATGGATAAGTTCAAGTTGCGCATTCTTGGCGCATTATTGTCATCTTCTGAGAAGGTGCCTCTCTAGCGGCGTTCACGATAAGAAAATGTCTTCCATCGCGATCGCTACGGCTAGCCGTCTAACCTAGTAAATGGCGTGAAGCTTCCCCCCTTTTTTTCTTATCGCACGAAGATGGTATACAGGCAACTGAGTTTCTTCAGTCTAGGCGTACCACGACAAACTTTCGTGTTAAGAGGTTGAAGACGCTGCCAAATATGAACGCCATGAGGGAACAAGTAAAGATGATAACGTTGTAGGGCATGCTGAAGTCAGGTGTCGCGAGGTCCACGAGGAGACCGGTGGTATACATTCTGCTGTTTGAAGGTTCTACCGGGGTAATGACTGCCGGAGGCAAGTCCCACCCACGCTGGGCATCAGGTTGATGCTCTGTATAGCGGAGGAAAGCTTTCGTTACGTCCATCGTTAAATGGACGGTCGAGCGTGGAGGGAGGCTTAGCATTGCCTCAAATGTAGTAGGACGGGAATGGGGGACGGCAGGAACATAGGTGAAGTTGGATATGATGTTTTCTGGTATCTTGTTAAAACTGAGACACGACACCGAGGATCAGACCTACCTGAGGTGATGCCCTTGGCCCGTGCTTGGAGGGTGTGAAGGTAGAATTGGACGAGCCAAGGCATCGTTTCCAGATAACGAGCATAAACTGTAGTGGGTTCATGGTTTATAATGACCAAAGATAGCTGTCCACGATCTTGGCTCGACCCCTTTAGCGTCCTTTGAACGGAGAGCGGTGTCAGCGGAATGGGTTCTCCGAGAGCTGCATGGTCATTAGATTGGATAACCCATTAGTGTGGAAGGCGGCGTACGGTGCTGGAAATTCTGTTGCCAGTGCATGGCAACATTCAAAGGTTTAGCGACTAGCACCGAAATGTTAGGCGGCAACATCCGGAAAGAGGGATTCACTTGCCCGTTGCTACGTCGAAAAAGGCAGCCTCGCCTTCTATTGACGGATTGGGATTGATTTCAATTGCGTCCTGTTGCGGCAACACGACGGTAACGCGACTTGACACAGCAACGGGGCATGTTTTGTTGATAACACGGGAAAACAGGGATTGAAATGACCAATCTTCAATCACAGGATCAGCCCCATAACGAACTGCGCTGCAGAAGTAGCGGATACATACCTCGAGAAGTTGACAAAGAGTAGCGTAGTGGATCCATCACGGATTGAAAAGTAAGTCGAACCTCAACCCCGTCCTCTTCGTGCCACAGCACATGTACGCCCATTCCGTGCCAATCAGCGTCAAAAAGACGGTGGGGATTTAACAAGCTCGCGATGCCCGACAAAGACTTGCAAGGGAGGAGTTTGAGGAATGGCGTTAAATTCTCCGTACAAACATGCTCGGATGGTAAAGACGCGTGTCGGAGCTGGTGAGGCAGGTCGAATTCTGGCAATCTACCTTCAGGAGGAAATGCCTGTGACGGTGACGTAGTCCTTCGCTCGTCCATAGAGCCAAGAGAGGCACAGAAGAGACCTGCTAGAGCGTTTCGGAGGCCCTTCCATCGGTCGTCGATGCTGTTCTGAGGGGTTAGCGTAATACCCTCTGAGACGCGTTCGCGCCCACCTCATTGGAGCACCATCTCCCATCCACGCCCAAAGCTCTGCCCCCGTTCCAACGCCTTTCTCTTCTGGGTATCCCCACCGATCATAGTCCCACCTTCCAGCGTTCAATGTTAGGTGAAGCTCTGACACACCGTATTCTCTCAAGATCTGACCCAGCGCAAGAGGAAATACTCGATAGTGCTGAGCTACATTTCACGCTTCAATTTGAACCTTCAAGTTTGACGCAACAACTGAAATTACGCACCTTCATCGTCAAACCCTAACGTCCGGGGATCCCTTGGCGACACACCCTCCAGGCGCGTGGTGAAGGAGAATCTTGACGCTACTTTGCCGTCATTGAGGTTCCTCAACGACAATTCCTCAAAGAAACTTTCTACGGCAGCTAGGGTGGGTACACAAAGGCCGACGAGGAGGAGGAAGTGACGGATATTCCACATTTCCAAACACAAAATTGAGTTGGCACGCCGCCACTGTGTTTGTTTCAAGCGGAGCCCCAATTACATTTACAACTCTTTTTGATCTCTGATTTCGGGTAACGAGCACCAACAACGCGAGGCCGTGAAAAAGAGGTGAGGAACGGATTGATTACAGGAAAGGTTACAGTCCTGACTTTTCTGCAGGGTTTTAAACTTTCAGCATTGCCAGTCTCTGCGCACGAAAATTGACTCAGGCATCGAGATATCGCATGAAGTTTACCATTTAGTGATGTAAGGCTGACTCTCCGGCATTCTTCACTCTCTGAAAGAAGTTCAGAGTCGCAATGTCCGATTTTCCCTCGAAACAATTCAAAGTGGGGTTCAATGGAAGTCTAGATGGTGTACCGCGTGCCGCTCGGCGGCTAATCTTCAATGCGGATGTCCTCAAGGCCGCCAAAGTCTGCGCTGGTGACGTCGTCGCCCTGTCAAGTAGAGATCCACCCCATAAGGTCAGACTGAATTGCGTGACATTGCGTTCCACCCCGCCGACTCCCTCATGTTTGATGGTTTTCTGTATATAGGCCTTTGCCGTGGGGGTTGTGTGGCCCACTCTAGAACTCTCCCGGGACAGTAAGCGAAACTCTCACAAAATCACACAGAACGGGGGATTTATCCCAGCTTGAATACAGCGGTTCTCGTGTCCAAATCCCTTCTGCTTACGGCCGGCCTGTCCGTGGGCGATACCGCCCGGGTGTTTCCACTTTCCGGGGTTGGGTCAAACAAATTACCGCCAGGCTTACCGTCCCTTCGACAAGCCCAAGAAGCTGGTACCATACGATTGAAAGAAGATCTCGCAGAAAACATAATTCCTGTCACCAAATCAAGTTCAAGGGAGCACAAGGACCGTGATTGGCTTGACCTCGCCCTGCGTGAACTCTTAGGTCAGCTTTTCATTCTTTTCTAGCCTCTTATAGATGCCTCACCCCCATCAAGTTGATTTAAAATATGTTAACAACAACCAGGTGTTAGAGGTTTTGTATGAGGGTCAGACGCGCCGCTTCTCTGTGATGTCCGTGCACCCCAGAACGCTTCCCATTGATATCAAGGGACGAACAGGAGATCTCACACATGATCTCAATAGCCTTTCTATTAGCGCCCCTGCTCAGTTGTGGAGCGTCACTTGGGATACTGCCGTGGTGATCACAAAGGATCCTGTTGTTGAAGAAGTGCTATCCCATAAGGCAAGTTTTGAACTAATTTACCCATGAACGTTCATATGACTCAATTTCAGCCAGAAATCGAGGTTCTCGAACACAGTCCTGTAAACGAGGCATACTCGTCTGTTGGCGGTTTGAACAAACAAATCGCAGAGATTCGAGATCTTTTAGAGATACCTCTCACCCGCCCTGAGCTCTTCCGATATTTCGGTTTGTGATCAATTACTCTCGCCCCCCATAACGTTCTCATGGACAACCAGGGCTCAAGCCTCCGAGAGGGATACTCCTTCACGGTCCGCCTGGGACTGGGAAAACTCACCTGGCCCGCGCCATTGCATCCTCCACCAAATCCGCAGTTCTGGTCATCAATGGCCCTGAGCTCTCCTCTGCCTACCATGGGGAAACTGAATCTAAGCTTCGAGAGGTCTTCAAGCAAGCACGTGATAAGAGTCCCTGCATCGTCGTGCTCGATGAAGTGGACGCGCTTGTTCCGCGAAGGGAAGAAGGAGCGGGAGGGGAAGTAGAAAAGCGAGTTGTGGCGACTTTGTTGACGATTCTTGATGGTATGGAAGACGAAGGGGCTGATAATCAAGCGAGGGTAGTCGTCATCGGCACGACGAACCGTCCAAATGCCATCGACCCCGCCCTACGGAGACCAGGGAGGTTTGACCGCGAGATCGAGATTGGTGTGCTGCGATTGATACCTTGTTTCAGGCTTGAAATTGACGACGTACAACAGGAATCCCCGACGCCGAGGCACGTTTACACATACTCAACGTTCTCCTTGCAAAAACACCACATGGTATTTCTCCAACCGACCTCCAAGCATTAGCATCTCGAGCGCATGGCTACGTCGGCGCAGATCTTGGCGCCATGGTCCGAGAGGCAGGCACGATAGCAATCAAACGCTGGCTCAGCACGTCTCCAAGCCAGAATATAGCCAATTCGTCCATCCCGCTCACCCTGGAACTCAAAGATCTGGTCACGGCAATGCCCTTCGTGAGACCGTCCGCTATGCGGTCTCTGTTTGTTGAGACGCCACCAGTCCGCTACTCCGAAATTGGAGGCCAGTCTACTGTTATCCAAAAGCTGCGTGAGGCTGTTGAGTGGCCTTTGTTGTATCCGGAAGCATTCCAACGGCTCGGTGTGAAACCGCCCAAGGGAGTGTTGCTGTACGGCCCTCCTGGGTGCAGCAAAACTATTTTGGCACGCGCGTGTGCTTGCGAAAGCGGAGTCAACTTTGTTGCCGTCAAAGGTCCCGAGGTGTGTCTTATTTTGTGCAAATTTCCCCAGGCTCATTATGATTTTACAGCTTTTAAATAAATTTGTGGGTGAATCGGAAAGAGCCGTCCGGGAGATATTCAGGAAAGCACGCGCGGCTTCTCCTTCAATAATTTTCTTCGTAAATCTTTCTTCTTGACAGTATGCTTCGCCGGGCTAATGAAAATATCAAGGATGAGGTCGACGCGCTCGCAACTTCACGCTCTTCCACAGATAGCGACACAAGTTCCTCGCATGAAGGCGTGCTAACTAGCTTACTGAACGAAATGGACGGCGTTCAAGAGCTTGTGGGCGTCACCGTCGTCGCAGCGACCAATCGCCCCGAAGCTATCGTGAAATTCTCCACAACTCAGCGTTGTCAATAAACCCTGATATTTATTTTGATTATAGGACTCTGCGCTGATGCGCCCCGGAAGACTTGATCGCATTCTATACGTCGGTCCTCCTGATCGAGAAGCGAGAGAAGAAATTTTGAAGATAAGAATGAGATCAATGACTGTTGGGCCGGAAGTAGACGTGAGAGCCATCGCTGAACTTGTGAGTCTTGTTCCTCGGGCATTTTTTGATAAATAACCCACTCTTCTCGTCAAGACTGAAGGATGTTCCGGGGCGGAGATCACAGCGCTCTGCCAGGAAGCCGCTATCCTCACAATGCAAGATGACATGAACGCGCCATATGCAAGTCCTCAGCACACCCCCAGAAACATCATTCTTACTCATTGTTGTCACTTAGGTCCCACATGAAAGGTTCATCGCAGCCGCGAAGTCTACAAAACGGCAGATCACCCCTGCGGTGCTGCAAAAATTTACTAAATGGCGAAATGAAAGTGACGCTCGGACGTTGTAAGACAAATACATATGGGTATCATACGGACGAGACAACGACGTGGGTTGCCTTTCTTAATATTCTGTCTGCTACATCGCCATCGATCATGAAGAGGCTTTCAAGAATGGAAGTATAGCATATGTTTTAAAGCTTAATGGACAAGGCGAGATAGATCGCGACGAGGTAACTTTTTTTTAGAGAATCTTTGTTGGTGCGTGACGGTCGTTAAATAAAAGGGGGGTAAGGAAAAGAGAAAATGGGCGATGGACACATGTGGGAGGGTTAACTATAATTTGAAGAGTGATGCAAACTAAGAGTTCAGGATCAGTGCCACGAGAAGGTTATCCATCTAGAATACATACGACGCTGGCCGAAGGTAAAATGCAAGTTGGAGGTGCTTGGAGTGGAACCTTGAAAAAAACTTGTCAGGAAAAAATCACAATGACGCTCATGTGACTGCCAAACCCCGAGATAGAAGTTGGGAAAAAACGAGCAAGGCCATGAGGTAATTTGCCGTCGGCTGAAAAGAAAAACATAAGTGACAAAAAAAATGGGAAGGCCATGCTCACCGGAGTTGAAGTGTCTCCATCTTGAATACCCAGCTCAAAAACAGAAACAGCCAACCGCCGCTTCACCGTTGTCAGCGGTGCCACGTCCGGTAAGACGATGCCTGAGACCTTCGAGAAGGCCCCCAACAATCATCAAGTACTGTCTGCCTGCCCACGCCCCTGTGAAGGAGCGACTTTCTACACCTGGGTAACACCAGTACCCGGGATGCTTTAGGACATGTGTGGTGCGGCGAGTGGTTGTTCTGTGAATGAAAGGGTACCCGCTAAACGCGTCTATGAAGGTACGAGCTGATGGCCCAAGGGATGCTTGTAAGGTGGCCGACAAAGCGTAATAATAAGGATAGCTTACAATAAGCGCATGTGCCCTCCCAGATAGAAACGCCACGCTTGGGGAAAAAATCGTCGTCAGAAAGACACCGCTGGAGGTTAAATGGTAAGGCGATGGCCGAAGGAAGAAAGATTGACGACTCACTGATATTTGCATACACCGCACATCGACGAGGCCAATCCCGCCACAAGACAGACAAAGCCACTTATGCACCATGTTAAAACAAAGTCAACCTTCATCCAGTGGCAGTCCTGGCAGATGGTGTGTCACTCCGGCCCCTCTGACGGGAGGGGCCACGCCAGCACCCCAACACCTGGATCGATTACACACCCAGGCAAGGGATGCGGCTACTTAGGCTCATGGCCACCACGCAATAGGAGATGTGACCGTGGCGATGTCTGACTCGGCAACTGGAATGGGTGACTCGCCTAAGCTGCAACGCGTTGAGGGCATGACCTGCTTTAGTGTTCGAGCTTGAGATGCTGTTAAGTTGGCGAGATGGTGTAAATTCTGTTAAATTGCGTATCATTGGGCGTAGGTGGCTGACATAGAAAATTAGTGTGCCTGGAAGCTGGCGGGATAGCGTGGCGTACCAGGCGTGAGCAGCGGCACGAGGAGGCGGACATCGGAAGGAGGAGGCTCTAATGCGTGAATGTTCGAGTAGTGAGCGATGATGTTGGGGCGGCAAGGTGACGTAGATACTATCAAAATTGCATGGGTGTGAGTGGCTGACGTAGAGAATTAGCGTGCGTGGAAGTTGGCGAGATAGCGTGGCGTACTAGTAAGCGTGAGGAGTGCCAGTGGCTCCAAAGCCTGAGGCGGAATCATTGGAGAGAGATAGAAGAAACTTGAAGAGTAAAGGCGTTGGCTGTAACTCCACAATAAAAAGCAAGGCGGGAGACAATTAGGAAGGTGGTGGTGGTTTGAACCTGAGCGATGGTTTAGATTGGGACCATGTACTTCAGATTTTTTCTCTGAGCATTCGATTGATAGTGGCTAATGTAGTGGTGACATGATCTGCACAGTATTTGAAGTTTTGCGCTTGATATCTCCTTTCAGAGGGCTGTAAACAACGCGAGGGCAACCACGAAGAGAGGGCAGGCCCCGGGAAGCTCAGGCCATTTCTTGTCCAAAAATAGCGGATTTGAGGGCCCAAAATTCGGCCTATCTTTGTCCTAGAATAGCGGATTTGAGGCGATTTGGATGGCAGGTTTGTCCACAAATAGCGGATTTGAGGGTGCAACTGAGCAGGAGTTTTTTGAAGTTGTCACTGATGGCGAGGATCTAAATCATCTAATTACTGGTAACAAAGACGGGGAAGCAGGCTTCATCTGTAAACGATTGTCTTTGACAGTCTTGTTGCAGTCTTGCGTCGTCAAACCCCCTAAATTCACACCCTTCCTTTTTAGGGAGTGTCACGTGTCGACCCCAAAAGATAGCGGATTTGAGGTCCGTTTTGGCGACTTTTTGCGGACAAGAAATGGCATGAGCTTCCCGGGGCCTGAGAGGGCGTATGTCTGGCGACCACAACCGTTACACACCGCTTCCTTGACCGGCCCTAAACATGGAAGCTCAGCAGTTTCTCTCCAAGGTCGAACGAGGATTGAAACTTGAATGCAGACCAACGGCGAACCTATCTCCTTCTTTCTGTTAGAGTTGCCATTGGAAGTTATAACTGAGGTGTTGAAGTTATTAGATTGGCAAACCGTCCTCCGTGTAAGACAGGTGAGTCATGACTGATCTGCCGTAGACGGTAGAACTTCCACTTATCGAAGGCTTTAGACATGCAAACACCTTTCTGATGCAACGAAAGCGAAATCCATTTGGCTCGGCTTATTCTATGCGTCCAACGCCTCTCATTCGCGCTCCCCATTACGCCTTGAGCATCCCATGGAGCTCTACACCTCACGGGAGCTCGAATATCTTGTTTTGCGGCGGTCTAGTGCACGAATTATACGACAAAGACGGACCGAGCTGTTCCCCCCTTTGACTTGTCGGTTTCCTATCGATGATCTCTATGTCGGCGCGCTCATTTTAATCACTGGAGGACGCTGGCTGCTGACCGCTTCCGCCACCGGTTCTGTCTGGTATTACGATTTGGATGCACGAGCTCCGGTGAAAAGACTGTTAATACCGGAGCAAATGGAATATCTCCATGGCTTTTCAAATGGCGTAAGGATGGTGGTTGATATTGATAACAAATCCTCACTGTTGTCATTCAACCTTGCCATGGTCATGGCAAGAACCAGTGCGTCTTGTGTATTTTACTGAAGTATAAAACTTGATGTTACTTGTAAGTTGTACCATCAGCACCCGATTCACCTCGAACCCGAATCGCTCAGGTCTGGCATGTAAGTCTCCAACTCGATGGCCAAATTCAGGCGGCGAGCCTGACAGCCACTGGAATGGGCTCTAGTGCTTCCTACGATGCAGATGCCTGGTGGAATGATGATGGATTGCCCTCTCTACATGCTCGTGTACACTACCTGATGACTAATCTAATGGTCATGTGCTCTCCTGTGGGAATGCTCCTTTCCCTATTCCATCTGCCCCCCTCCATTATGGAGGCGTCCTCGCCTCCTCGCTGCCACTCTGGCTCCAATTCCCATCGCGTCCTCCTCCTGTACTTCCTCCTCTTCTTCGTCATAGAAAAAACCCGCCTCTCCTCCGCTGTCGTCCTCTGAATCTCGCAACACCGCTTCCTGTGAGTCCTCGCCGTCTACTACCTCTTGGGCTTCGATCTCCTGTGCTGGAACTTCCGCTCTGCTGGGCTCTTCCGCAGTAAGCGCATCTTCGAAATTCTTCTGCTCTGCTGCTAATGTTGTGCCCTCCCTTGGCGTGAAACTCCGGAGGCGTCTTGCATGGAATAGGCCGTCGAGAGGAGCGCCCTCCAATGTTTCAAGCTTGTATGAGTTGAGGAGCCGTTCTGCGACGCGGCGAGGGGGTGACCACATGGGGGCCAGCTTGCGCTCTGTACTAAGGGTTAGGGCGAGTTTATTGTTGTATACTTGTACCAGTTGCCCTGTCTTGAATTCAACAACTCCTGCCTTGGAGGCCTTGACCCTACGATTGAACGCGGTCTTCCGTTGTACAGCATGATGCACTGCCTCGGCGTAGCCGTCGAGTTGTTGTTGTGCCGCATATGTCATGTGCGTGTCGACGTCAGCGGGCGGTAAGAAGGATGAACTGACCTCCAGTGGTGTTTTCAACGTGTTCACCACTAATCCCAGTAAGACCTCCTTCGGGCTGAACTTGAGAGCTGGCAGAATCCGCCAATTGAGGATGCGGATGGCCTTGTCGAAGTGGTCCGGCCACGTTGTCGGTAGCTTGTCCCACGTGGTGGTTTGCCATCCATCTTCGCCAACCTCAGGTGCGCATAACCGTGCTAGAACATAAAGGAGAAGTTTGTTGGTGCCTTTGACGAGCCCGTTGACCCATGGAGAGTATGCTGCCACTGTGTGTAATTTAGTACCCCAACGCTCACAGTTCTCTGCAACTTCCCGATTCTTGAAATGCTTGCCACCATCTGCCATGAACGTCTCGGGGGGAGCGAAATTGTGGAAAATGTCGTCAAGAGATTTGTTGGTTGTTATGGCGGTTCCGTGAGTTTTAAACTTGTACCCCCACACATGCTGCGAACACGTATCGAGGTAGATTCCAGCAGTGTGGTAGCCGCCTTTCCCTACAGGCATTGACAGATAATCGCCCACCAGCAGCTCGAAGGGATGACACCGGGTTATTGGTTGTAGAAGGGAGTGTAGGTGTGTACCTCCAAAGTTCTTGCACCGTGCACAGTCCAGGATGGCTTTGACAATGGACTCGTCCAGCTTGGGGCTGTGGTATTGATCCAACAACGCCATTTTCATGGTGTCACGATGCCAGTGTCCGCCCTGCTCATGTTCGATCTTCGCCAGTGCGACCGCCTCAGCCCTTGATACACATTCCCTCCTAGCTCGCGCACGTGTACCACTTCCCCCTGCCACAAACCACAACTTCCCTTCGTCTATCATGTACTGGGTCTTCTGATGTTGCGCACGTTTCTTCTCCCACACTGTAGCGTCCTGAGACGAGTGGCCGATGATTGCGTCGATGACGTCGAGGTACAGGGGTTCGTCCTTGAACCTCTCCTTCAGGACCGTCAAGTCCGGAAGGTCGGCCACTTGATAGAGATCGTGTACCAGGCCAGTTACCTCCTCCCAGTCTGGTGTTACCGTCCACTCACTGCCATCACCTGCAGCCTTTTCTGTGCCTTCGTACTGCCTGCTAATACTGTCAGCGATGTTGACTTTGCCTGGTATGTGTCGGACGTCGACAATGTTGTGTGCCAGCACACCATCTCTCCATCGTGCATGAGTTGCATTCAGTTTGTCACTAAGTAAGATGTCGCGCAGAGCCTGACAGTCTGTTTCAACTTCCACAGGGTACCCATATACAATGTCCGAGAATTTGTCGAATGAATATTTCAATGCAGCGAACTCGAGGAGGAAAGGTTTGTACTTCTCCTCCGACGTTGACGTTCGCTTAGACGCAAAACCAATTGGGTGTAAGCGGGTTACTTCCTTTCCACCAGGTAGAGTCGTCTTGATTCTCTGCGATAGTACTCCTGCGAAAGCGTCTTTGCATGCGTCGGTAGTGAGAATGAAATGGGTGCCATCGAATTGAGGGGCCGTTAGCACAGGCTCCGATACCAAGCGTGCTTTTAGATTTATAAACGTCGTCGTGTGTTCTGCCTTCCAGTGTGGTTGCAATTTGTAAGCCTTCATAATACGCTGGTAAGCTGACTTTTTGGCGCCGTTAGGAATGTCGACTGCACGTAATAGATCCCTCAGCGGCTTCTCGAGGGTAGCGTACCCTTTGACCAAGTCTCTGAAATATGCAGTTAACCCGAGAAAGCCTTCCAGATGAGAGGCGTCCTCAGGTATTTTCCAGTCAACAACCGCTGTGAGCTTGCTTGAGTCTGGGCTGACACCCCCTGGTCCGACACGTGCTCCCGCAAATACTGCCTCAGTCATGAATAGCTGGAGTTTTCCTGGGGACAGCGACAACCGTTCCCTGCGTACACGTTCCAATATCCGCCTTAATTTCACTACACCTTCCTCAAAGGAATCCGCCGCTGACCCACCATCGTCCACAAAATTTTCGCAGGTACCATCCGCAATGAGGTCGT